GGCACATTTTCTGTTAGTCTCATACAATGTTAAAGATGATCGCTGATCTGACTCTTATGTACTTTCATTGTGCACGGCTATTCCTATAGTTTGTTGATGAAAGCATGAAATGTGTGTTTTTTTTTCATTCATAGTGAACAATTGCCGAAACATAATCGTCGAATGATCCAAACTAACATACCTGTAAAACATTGGGCTGTATTTTGGCATAGTTCGAATTCGAGCACAAACTCGAAAAAAAATTTCCAAGCCATCAAGCTAGTTTGCATCATCTGAAACTATCGAACGATAATAAAATGTAACTAAATATGCTTATAGCGCAATAAACATTTGAAGAAAATCAAACCAGAAATATATCTAGAAAAAAAATTGTCTTGTTAGGGTAACTCTGTTTGTTCTCCTACCATGAAACGATTGCTTTGTGCCTTTTCTGTTACTTTTTCCCCACACGTTTTGAATCTGGGGATGTAGTTGTCGTTTGTTGATGTGGTTCATAAGTGTTTCTCGTTCTTTATATAGATTAGACCGTTTGTTTTCCCGTTTGAATGGTTTTACACTAGTAACTTTTAGGGCCCTTTATAGCTTGCTGTTCGGTGTGAGCCAAGGCTCCGGTCCGTGTTGAAGACCGTACTTTGACCTACAATGGTTTACTTTTATAAATTTTGACTTGGATGGAGAGTTGTCTCATTGGCACTCATACCACATCTTCTTATATCTATGAATTTGTTTTCTGTGTCGTCCGATAAGTTGTCTTACAGTTTTGAAAACCCCTGCAATTTATTACGCTGCTTACTATTAACTATTCAAAGTATAGTGAAATGTGGTAACATGTAAATTTTATCACTGGAAGTTGTCATATTGCTGTCTTCTATGCACTCCTTCAGTTTTGATTTCTATCGGTTATGTTGCTGTATATATACAGTAACTTATGCCATTATGTGAAGTGTCACTCTGTTTCGACAAATTGAACATACGTTATCTGTAATTATAAACGGAAAAGAAATATAAAAAAGAATAACCATTAAGCTATTTCTATTTGCGGACTAAAAGTTTATTTGCTTAATATGTGTTTTGTCCGACTGTCACTATGGTATGTCTTACTATGAGTTATCGCAAACATTATTACTTGTCTATTAAAGAGCCAAGGACGTTTTGGGGTATTAATTTTCGAGGAAATATTTATTTCTCAATGTGTGTTTTTTGTGGTTATTTTGTGGTAGACGCCCCTCATAGATTAAAACTTCTGGATTGCGTATATATGATGCTTAAATCTCGTTATGTTATTTCATAGTATCAATATTTAATTACCTTTTCATATTTATAATAGCTATGCTAATTCTAAGTCTCAAAAAGATAAAATATGTAGAACAATATTGTTACATAAAGGGTGTACACGGATTGATACCATTTGAAAAAGAAGAATTGTATGATATCTGGTCTCGAAAGTACATTTTGCTATTAAATATCACACGGGTACAACGAGATATTACTGTATTTCGATAGTTTAACTGTAACATAAGGAATATCATATCAATAACATGAACATTATTGTGTGGTACTAAAGTTACCGACCGTGCGAGACCCCCATGGGTAGCCAAGGTCGTTAAAACCCCCACTAGTAGTAGTGGTACTAAAGTTATTGCATAAAAATGGCAATACCGCAGTTGTATATCTACAGTTTTTAGAAAAATTAACTCAATATAGTTTATCACGAATTAACGAACGGACCACCTTAACATTCAAATTATTATATTAACAAAAATTAAATAAAGAAATAAAGAAATAATAATAATAAAAAATAATATAAAAGAATGCAATGTTTAAGTCCATGAATGAATGTAAACCATTGAACACAATTTGATTTTTTTTTTGTAGTTTGTAAACTTTGAAATTTTTCTAAGTTAAAATTTAGGATGCAACCTCTCTACAAAGTTGACCTGAACTATTGCAGCTGATATGTTAAGGCCATTTTGGTTAATTGCTTCCAAACAACTAACATATTCGGTACCTCAAGTATTGGTCTTCGAGTATACCAAAGAAGATAATAGAACAACAAAAACGAAACAAAACTAATTGAAAATAAGTCTTTTAAAAATTGTTGCGTTTTCGCTGTTAATACTTGGTTATCGTTGATTTTCATTTGCACCGTACCATATAAATTGACCAATTCATTCATTTGCTTTAAAAATTATATCAATTTCACATTATTAAAACATTACGCATTTCGAATTTACTATGCTTAAGAACAAATTAAACTTCATTTTCAACAGTAAGCTTCATGAAGATTGATTACTTTAATTTCAAAATACATTGGTAATATGTTTTTCCATCTCTTTTTTGATAAATTGGCCATGTAAACATATAAATTAAAATCGGAACCAAAATACACATCAATATGACAATGAGAATATACACAAAAAATACTGCTCATCCATGAATCTTAGTATGATGACCTCTGAAATGTATATCAACATTCTTCATTTTGTTTTTCAACGGCTTGGCTAACATCTTTTTCGCATATATATATATATATATATATATATATATAACTTACTAATTGCTCGTGTTATTGTTTTTATCTAATATTGTTAATTAAAATAAAAATTTAAAATAAAAATATCCCAACTAAACATTTCCTATTTGTTTTTAAATAGTTAACTTATATGTTATTGGTATACACTACTCATATAATACATAAAGATAAATAAGCCAAATCAAATGAAAGATCAGATTACAGATATAAAAAAAAAATCCTGAAAAAAAAGTTACATGGCCATTTCAGAATTTATATAATATAGGAGGGCATAAAGCCCATGAGCCAATTCAAAGATGTTTTGTTCTTTCCTGTAGGTAGTAATTAGATCTAAACATCTATTTTAGCGAAAAGTAAATTATTCTTAATTTACCACATAACTTCAGATTCTGCTCTTCAAATCCTGTCAAATCAGCAGAAAATAGATTTACGAAACAAAAATAGTTTTTGACTAGTAAGATATTTCAAAGTCTTAATAGTTAAGAATAAACTCAGATGTTATCATTAATGCTGCTGAATTGACCAATTTTAATAAAATTATTGCCCCACAACCCCCGAATTTCTCGCTCATCTATGAATCCAAGTACGATGACCTTTGAAATGTTTATCAAAATTCTTCATTTTGTTCTACAACGGCATGGTTAACATCTTTTTAACATTTTTTAAAAATAATATATAAAACTTACTTTGTTATTATTTTATCTAATATTGTTAATTAAAATAAAAAAATAAAAAAAAAAATATCCCAACTGTAAACATTTCCTATTTGTTTTTAATAGTAAGCTCATATGTTATTGGTATAAACAATCATATAATACATAAAGATAAATAAGCCAAATTAAATGAAAGTTTAGATTACAGACATAAAAGAAAATCCCGAAAATAAGTTACATTATGCCATTTCAGAATGTATTTAATATAGGAGGGCCATAAAGCCCATGAGCCAATTCAAAATTATTTTTTTTCTTTCCTGTAAGTAGCAATTAGATATAAAAGTTAACTTTAACGAAAAGTAAATTATTCTTAAAGTTCCACATAATTTCAGATTCTGCTCTTCAAATACTGTCAAATAAGCAGAAAATAGATTTACGAAACAAAAATAGCTTTTGACTAGTAAGATATGTATTTTAAAGTCTGCGTAGTTAAAAATAAACTCAGGTGTCATTATTAATGCTGCTGAAATGATCATTTTAATAAAATGATTGCCCCACAACCCCGAATTTCTCGATTTTCCGTAACATGTAATCTCTAATGATTAAAATTACTCCTTTAAAACGAGACATTTGATAAAATTATGCAACCATGAACAAATCTATGTTCTAAACAGTCATCTAACTTTCATCAAAATTTAAAATATGACTTTTAGTTACCATCGCATATACTTGTATTAATCTTTTCATATAATTCAGAACAGCATAGTCAGATTTAAAGACAGACATGTTACCAGCGAAATCCAGAGTCATATAAAAACAAACTTAAAGAGCCTTCCTTTTTGTTTAAATAGCTCCTCAGCATTGAAGTACTTATACAGTTTTATCTTTTAATCTTTTGGCTTTAAGCGTACTGGATGTTTTGTTGTTAAAGTAGCTGCTTTATAAAACGTATTTTGATTTAACACCCTGCGCAGATAGAAACATCGACCCTGTAAAAAAAACCAATACATATGAATATATTCTGACTCGTTTGAATTATGTATTTCGACTAGAAAATTTGGTTGACAGTTTTAAACTTTTAAAGAAATCATGTTTGTCTTATATACACATTTGCTGTTATTTTGACTGTATAAATCTTTAACCTAATATAATATACTAAGTACTTTTGATACCTTTGCAACACCAATTATCTCACATCAATATATTGAATCAGCAAAAAATCAAATGAATAAAAAATAGAAAAAAATAAACCTAGACATCTTTTCAATTAAAAGTATCACATACATATGCAAATAAACTTTATTTAATCTCAGATATAAGAAGGGTTGTCAATTGAACTCGGTATGATCACTATTAACAGAACATTTGTTAAAGTTACAAAAAAAAAGCAAATAGGAAAAAAGAAAAACCGCATAATTCAATTATTTACATAAAACTGAAGTGTTTAACAATTCTATTAAAATTATAGTTTTTAACGTGAAAACAGCCAGTGGTTACAAATATGGAAAATACTAAGCCATATTGTCAAAGTTTCTGGGCGCCTCCGGATACTTCAGAAGACAATAGAGGACATCTTCCCCGCCCAGTCAACTGAGTGGAGAGACTCGACTGCCAATCTTTTAATTCACACTCCATAACGCATGGATGATTTTACCATATAAAACAGCCTTGCACCCTCACTACATCAAAACTTTCGCAAATTGATAGTGGTAGTATCCGGATTTTGTTAAATAGACAAATATTCATCTAAAAGAGGAACTTTTAATTATTGCATCATGGAAAACAGAGTAAATTTAAAACACTGTGTTGAACAAATGGTTAATGTTGATGGCGATGAAAGTGACAGTTCACAAGAATCTTGTTACTCAACTTCGACTAGATGTAAACAAGGAATCCAGAAAGGATTAAGTAACCTGAAAAGGAAAATGGCAGAATGTGTGGACGAAGCGGAATTGCAAGATCTAAGACTAAAGATAAATTCAAGAGAAAGACGCCGTATGCATGATTTGAATTCCGCATTAGATGGTTTAAGAGAAGTAATGCCTTATGCAAATGGTCCCTCAGTGAGGAAACTATCGAAAATAGCTACCTTGTTGCTAGCAAAGAACTATATTCTTATGTTAAACAGTTCCCTAGATGAAATGAAGAAACTCGTCAGCGACGTTTATCAAACACATCCAATACGGACACGTGCACCACCGGCTCATCTGCAACCTCCGCACGCGCCTCAATTTTCTCCATCATTACCATCCGTTTCCAATGTGCCTACAGTATCAGGACCTTCACACGTTCATTGTCGTGATTTAGAAACAATACACACTGTTGTGTCAAAGGACAGCTCATCGCATATGACCTCATTAGTAACACCACATGAAAGACATATGTTTACGTCACGATGGCCTGTCCCTTGCGCGTGCAGTAACTGCATGATTGACTCAATGAGAATATCATATCCTAAATATCCACCATCCTTGCCGACAGCGCCAACCTTTCATAAATGAATGATATTTTTTTGTGTTTGTGATTTTTTTCAAGTATTTAGATGCTGTATTATTTGCAAGATGACTGTGACACCACATTTAGACATTAAAATGCAAACCATGAAGAGCTTATGCAGACATTTGATTCCAAAATATCATTCTTGGCAAGATAATCAACAAAGTCTAAACTTATCATTAAGTAATTGGAATATTCAATTATGCGTTTGACTTTAAATAAAGGACAGACTTATACAAATGGATAGTATTCACCAAGCTTGTACTGGACATAACTGATGTGTTAGATTTAACTTAACTGTAATTTAGTGCCTTATGTATTTGCAACTAAAACAGTATCATAATTTTTAATGTATCATTCTATTGAATTAAGTGCTCACATTTTTTCTCGATTTATTGTTTCCATATTTTCATCATGAAAGAATAAATGTAAAGGCGAATCACCTCTTCTATACAATTTGTCCAAGGTTACCATATTAGTTGTATATAATTATTTATTTCCGAATAGTTTTAATGGACACACTCTACAATGTGTGCTATACATAGATAACTGGCAAATGGATAAATAAATAAATTTAGTTACATATATTTAATAATGCTTCTTAAATTATTTCAAATATAGCAACACAAGTAGGCTTACTTATACTTACCGAATTTCTTTTTTTAACATTATTTTCATTATTTTTACTTTGTCAATTAATGAAAGAGTTGGTAAAAAAATGGAGCAAAAAAAAAAATGCACTTATAAATTCAAGTAATTAATTTCAACAAAGCTTACAACTGAAAATAAATTTCAAACAAAAACGTTATGATTTTAAACAGAGTAAACTTAAAATAAGTAAACTTTTTGTTTATATGAAAATGATGTAAATATCGGTAAAGGAAATTATTATCTAACCTATCTATTTACACAATTTGTTGCAAATTAAATTCAACGACGTCACAGAGATCAACAAAGCATATCGGTTTGTTATAGTTTATATTATATATTGATATATATTAAAACATAGTTGCATTAAATTGCAACTTCATTCTAAATATCTATATGGCTAGGGAAAGATAAATATTGGTGAAACGTAACGACCATAGAAAATAAAAATGTTTTCCCGTTTCTTGTCAGTTAAGACAGCTTTTATTTGTAGTTTGTTTTGCTCCCAAATTCAGAAATATTGTCCGTCCCTGTAACTTTCTGAAAGGATTGCTAACCATTGAGAATATATGTCAGAATGAAACGTGAAAACATTCGTATTGTATGCCAAACTTGGTATCTATGCCTTTCTTGAAAATTGAATAAAGCGAGTCTAAGCTTCATTACATCATATTTATATTTCTTTACAAAGGGGCATTACTTTTATACTGCTTTGTACACTGTAAATATTCTACTTGATGTAGACATTAATTTTAGTAATTAATCAATAAATTATCATTTCTAACTTCATGTTTTGTCGTTTGTAAAATTATATATTACAAATTGTAATTGTAATCTATTGTAAAACAATTTAGACTTTTTAAAAATGCTTTAAGTTTCTGCTTATTACAACAATTTAATGTAAAACAGCTTGCATTAAGTTGTACACATAATATTTTGACTACATTTTTGCAAACATTTAAAAATTTATAAAAAATATCTTCAGATCACAAAAAATCTGAGTCCTCGAACTTTTCTGTCTTTTCAAGGCATTGAATTTAAGGCAGAATCAATAGAGAAAATATTTACTAGAACAAGCTTAGATTACAAATTGGAAAACTAGTATTAATTAAATAGAAATTTAATTCATAAAAACAATTTTAGCAAGAAAAGGAAATACAATTTTCAAAAATTATAAAAGCGATATTAATCAATAAATGTTCAAAATTATTGAAGTATTGGAAACACGTAAAAAAAATTGTGTAAAAGAAACAAAATATTCCGGACATGGTTAATGCACTCACTTCAGGATATTGGTGGACTAATTGAAAATAACGATATTCATTATTAAATTTAAGGCACTATATGATCATTTTAGAAATTCGTTAATATTCAATAGTTCTCGAAGCCAAAATTTAAGTTCCTAAAGTATAAAAAAACAACATAAATGCGCAACAGTTAATAACACTTTTTTACGTTATTACTTCTTATTACTTTCAAACAAATGAGTCATTCTTGGCATTTCAAAATTCTGGCTGAGAACGTCCATATTAGAGCGACTTATAAACAATTTAATTACAGAAATTCGTGTCAAGTACGTAATATAAAGGTATGGTAAATGCGTCAAATGAAATATACAAACAGATAAACACAGCGGTAAAATTTATGTTAAATTATCAACCTTTATGATTATGCTGCAATGATTATTTTCTGTTCTCCTGAATTAAATGTATAAGGCATAGTGAACTGAATCAGGAAGAAAACAGTAATGGCTTTAAAGATGTTTTGAGGCTATACAATGGTTTGAAAGGTTCCTTATTAATATGTTGTCCACAACCATCGTCTGACATCTTAATTTTTTAAGCATTGTATCTTTGGTGTGTTTTTAAGATTTGTTTTAATGTTGTCGTCTTTTTTGTTCCTACCTTTCCTTTGACAAAATTACACAAATAAAGAAATAATATTCAATGCATGTTTGCTGTTATATATTATATGATTAAATATGTTAAACGAAGACTTCATAAGTCTGTTTGTCTTATCCACTTTGTATTTGAGGAAATCAGGCATGTTTTAACAATTATTAAATAATTAAATGAATTTTTTTTACGGTAAAGCAAAAAAAAAAACTCCAGTTAAAGGATTATAATTACAGATAAAGAAGATTAAAGAACACATTACGGAGAATATATTTATGAAACTCGTAAGGACGTTATTTCAATGTTGCCGCCAAGTACATTAATTTTTTGTCGGTTTAGGAATATTTGATGAAATTGTTAAAAGAACGGAAGTCATATTCTAGATAAAGTCGACTGGAGGTGAAAAAACTCAAACAACAACGTCTTGTTAGAAAAGACAAACTAAGAAAACTAAAGTAAGAACATCGTGATAGCATGAGTAAAGCCTGAAATAACACAAAATCTCAAAATCATCAGAAAGAAGACGCCAAAACAAGAACAAAATAACAATGCTTGATGGGAATTGACAAGAAAATAAAAACCAAAAGTCCGATAACTTGAAATTTAAACCCAAGACCGAATTAAAACAAACAAGTAAATAATGGCGATCTGAAAGAAAGGACAAAAAATTATCACACATTCTGCATGGACATAGGCGACATAACATAAAATCATCTCAACGTTGGTGATTAAAACATGAAATCAGAAATTGTTAGAGGGGTTAGAAGTTTAAAATAACCCAAAACAAGAAATTGTCAAAATGAAGATATTAGACTAAACATCACGAAATAAGAAATCCTGAAGACAATCAACACAAATTTACAACCTTCTATTAACTAATTCTACAATTACCACCATGAACTTTCACAACATGCTAGTGACAATTTAGATATAGCAAAGATCCCATATTTTCACTATGGTTCATATGGCATTATTTCTATGTTTTGAACATCAGTAAACTACTCTAGCCGTAATTTGCATTGGCTTTGACATTTTCCTCTAGGTATGCATTAGAATTGTTTGACGGATGATGCAATATTATAGCCGGAGTTGCATGCTCAACTTGTCGACCCCCTTGTTTCAATCAGTTTGGAGATTCCGATTGGTTCACTCCCACGTTTATCTGTTTAAAGCTGGTCATATGACACAACAATTTACAATCGATATGATACTTTATATTTCAACTTACTAGACATTTTATATCTGTCAAAGATCCCCAACCTCATAAAATTACCTGCTTGTCAAGATCTTTTGCCTTTGTAGCAACTGTAAGCATTATTCATATAATCATACTGTATCGGTTTACCTGTGGTGTTTTGAACAAACGCTGATCAGAAGATAAGGCAAAAAAAACCCCAAAAAACGAAAGTAAAGCCAAACCAGGACGATGAATGCGAGCCATGCACGAGGGAGATAGTTCCTTAATTTAAAACGATTTCTAAATTTTATAACAGCAAATTTGAATAAAAAATATCCTTTAGTTATTTTTATGTCGATACCGAAGTTTTGGCTACATGGCTGGTGATACCCTCGGGTACTAGCAGTCCACCAGCAGAGGTGTTGACCCAATGGTAATTATATTGCTGGGTTTGTTTATATTTATTTACCTGGTGATGTCTTTCTTCATGATGATAGCAAATATGTAGTATCTTCTCTTTTAAATGCATTCTCAATTAATATAGACTTTGGGCGATTCAGAGCGAATGACATAAAGACACATGTCTACTGTCTTTATTGTTAACCAGAGCGTATGTTGACCTCCATATGTATTTATTTTTTGTTTTATAAAATTGGTGGGAACTTAAGCTGACACATCGGACTATACCCCACCTCTGATTCGCTCATTTTTATTTCTGTGTTCGGTAAATTCTATTATGACGTGCTATATCCTTGTCGTAAATAGTTTTTACTGTTTCGATGACATGAAGGAAAAAAAAAAGAAAAAAATCGACCATGTTTAACATTTAAAACGATCAAAATGTTGGAAGGTTTAAACAAAAAAAAAGTTAACTTCATCAATATTTAAAAAAAAAAAAAAAAAAAAAATTCCACTGCAGTTGAATAAATAAAAGAGTCAATTTTGAAGAGTGAATGATAACTACTGGAATTACATTACTGAAAAATCTAAATAGTATTTAAAATATAAAGTTAGTTTACTGATGTTCAATAAATATCTCGTAAGACCAGGTATAACACAAACAAACAATGTAAAAGGAATCTCATAAAATTCCGAAAAGTGTGAGACAAAGTGGGTTGACAGTGTTAACATTTACTTCTATGCATGCATCAGCTGTAGTCACATCCAGAAGAAATGTTAAGTTTGGGCAGTAGTAGGTTACCGATGATCATATCTTATTTATCGACTTAGAAGATACAAATCAAGGTCACAAACAAAAAACTGAGGAAATCGCATGAACTGCAAA